AGGTGTCCCATTGCATCCCCTGAAATTTGTCCTACACTTGCCCCAAGGCAGCATGTCCTACAGGTATTCTTATCTTCACACGTTCCAAGTGGTCTCCATGTCTTTGTGGTCTTCATACAGTCTGTGTGGTCTGTAGTCTGTGTAGTCCCAATGTGGTGTCCTTGTGGTTCTCATGTGGTCTATGCAGTCAATGTGATTTCCTGTGGTCTCCACATGGTCTGTAACAGCCCGTGTGGCCTAAATTGGTCTCCTGTGATCCATACAGTGCAAGTGACCTCCATATGGTCCCCATGATCCATTTGATACAGCTCCTTCATCCAGGACAGTTCAGATGATTCTGAAGGCCAGTCATAGGCAGGAGATCAGAAACTACCTCCCTGGGGTCCCTGTTCCTCCCAGCCTTGTCTTTAGCACTGATGTCCCCCTGTAACCTCTCCCCAGGGAGTCCGTGGACACTTACTGGTGTGCTGCCCTGCCTGAACAGCCAGCACACTGTAGTGAGATGGTAAGAGACAGAGAGATGGATGGATGGATGGATGGATGGATGGATGGATAGATGGATGGATGGATGGATGGATGAAGAGGCCCTGGTCTGAGATAGTTGCCCTCCACAAACCCACATCCTGGTCTCACATCTTCCTGGATGCATGTCTGGCTCCCATGTGTTGGCCCCAGATACATCATGGTCCCTCCCCACCCTTGACACATGCATTGTCCCACATTCGCCACCTGGACACGTCCTGTCCTACCTCACCCCAAAAACCCCTATAGATGGCCGTAGGTCCAGCTCTGTGCCCAGTTGAGTCCACAACATGATTCCTTGCCGGCCTCATACCTCACCAGGCCCTCTGTCCCTGACCGCCCCTGGGCTCAGGGACTCTGCAGGACAGGGACAGCCCATGTCCTTTGTTCCCCAGTGCCTATGTCCCTGGAGATGCCTTTCTCAGTGCCCTCCAGGTCCTCGCATCCTCCCATTCCCCCTGTCCCCACACAGTTCTTGTGTCTGGGGTTTGTCCTTGGCTGCCTATCCATGGGGACATGCCACGTGGGATCTACCAGGTCCGACAGGCAGGGACATCCCTCTAAGAGGTGACCTTTTTGAAGGAGTCAGGTGGGCTTATGGTCACCCAGAGTCTCGTTTTGACCAGGGGCATGGGGAGTTGGAAGAGACTTGCTAAGCCTTCCCTTTCATCAATCCCACCACAGCCCTTCAACCCATGGCCATGTCCCTCCCACCCCACAGCAATCCCATCCCACAGACATGTCCCAAAGTCCTCCCCTACCCCATAGCTCTGTCCCACATGTACCCATCACCCATCACGCCACATACCACGTCTCCATGTTCTCCCCACTCCACTGCCATGTTCTCCATGCTCCCACCACATAGCCACATCCCAGTGTCTCCCTAACCCATAGCAATTCCACCCCACAGCTATGTCTCCATGTCTCCACATGCCATAGTGATGTGCCCCTGCTCACAGCAATCCTACCCCATAGCTACGTCCCAGGTAACTCCATCACCCCATAGCTGTATAGCCATGGCTCCCACCCCATTGCCATGGCCCCATGGCCACCTGCCCCATAGCTATATCCTCACGGCCCTTGCCCCACTGCCATATCCCAATGGACCCCATCCCACTGCCATGGTCTTGCAGGCCCTGACCCATAGCCACAGCACCACGGCCCTAAGGCTCTTGCCCCATGGCCATGGCTCCATGGCCCCAGCCCCATAGCCATGGTCACATGGTACTCTGCCCCATAACCATATTCCCATGTATCTCTGACCCCTTGCCATATCCCAGTGGCCCCATCCCTATAGCCGTATCCCCAGGTATCCCCAGACCATTGCCAAATCCCCACGGCCCCATAGCTATACCCGCATGTCCCTGCCCCA